ATACTGGGATTGTTTCACTACATTAGGCAACACACAAAAACATGTTACAATGCAATGTATACTTTTTTATTTTAACACAACAATTTGTTCCGTGCCCAGCTATATTTCTCATTAAAATGTGCTGTCACTATATTTAACGCATCTCCGTTTCCCTTAATTATGTTTATGATATGTAGACGTGATTGAAGAATTAAAGTTATAAGTGGAGGTCAAGTGTAAATGATAGATAAATGAATGCATGAATGGTGCTAGTGACAATATAAGTAGGTTAAGAGAAGAACAGGATGGCCATTATTCATTAAGGACTCTGTTGCAGGTAGTATGGAATACATACAATAAAAAATTATAGCCTTATAGTTTTTTATAAGTATAACAGCCAACTCAAAGAAGAAAAAAATTAAAACTGTATGCACATGAGAGCAGACATTGAATTTTCACTTCAGTTGTGATTTGTGTGTGAGGTGTGTAACATGATTCCATCTTAGTCTTTCTATTTAATGATGACATTGATGAATAAAAAATGTCAGTATAGACAAAAAAATCTCTTGATGTAAGAATTATGTCATGATCATATGTTCAACATCTACTGGTTATTAGTCAGCACTGCAACTCACATCTTTGCAGTTCACCCCTGCTTTAGCTGAAAAAAGCTTAAGCAGACTGCTGGACAATTACCCTGGGCCTGATCAACAGGTCAGTCAGTTTGCATATGCAATCAATTCAGGTCTATATGACTTCTGCTACCCTAGATCATTACTGCAAATTGTTTGGACTGAGTTTGAACTCAGCTTTTCTGTGCTTATTCCGATCATTGACCTGTTACATCTGCAACTGCCAGTCTACTTCATCTGGAACCTGTGCTCTTTTCAGGATTGGTTTGTCCATCTTATCAGCAGCTCACTGTTGTCACTTTCTGTTGCTTGCTCTTACAATTTATCTGAGGGCTTACACTGTTCTAGATTCTGTCCTGTCTGCTAGTTAGCTGATTCCCCTGGTGACACAGTGAGTTCACCTAACTTCAAGACAGATTGCTTCAAATCAGAAAGCATGGACATACAAACCTTATAAAGCAAGCAAATCAAGCAGTGCTTGCAGCAATTGGCTGTGAGAGAGAAAAGCAAAACAACAAAAGAGCATTTCTCTTTGTCATTAGCTCTTATTACCAATTGTAACATTTCCCTGGCAGACTGTAAAATGTGAGTATGAGTATTGTTCGTCAATATTTGTTTCATGAAGAAAAGGAAATAACATTTACTATTTATCACGCTGTAGCCACCCTAACTTGCAAATAATCATTGCATCCTTGCGGGAGTATAAAACAATTTCATAGACTACCTCAGAGTACTGCCCAGGTCCTTGTTCTTGCAGATAGTAATGGGTCACCTATATGACTATGTACGTATCTTATATCCATCTTTTTTTTAAAGTATTGGAACATTATTTTCATCATCATTTTCTCACTATCTTTTTACAGACATACTGCCCAGAGCCCCTAAATTATGTTTCTGGAAACTTTTAAAATACAGAAAAAGTAAGGAAAATATTGTGAGGAACATATGAAATGCAGCTACATTTCAAAAATATGTATAAAAACAAAAATCTTAATTTATTTGGCATTTCCTAAAATTATTACTTTTGATTACAGTAAAGAGACCTTCTGTTTCTTTACTGTCTTTATTAATGCCATTAATGCCATTAAATCTATGTTATGAGTCATCTTCAAGTTTAGGTTAATTTCTCTCCTCTGCATTTGATTCCAATGATAGATAAGTCAATTTAGACATCCTGTAAATTTACATTTGTTTAGATTTATTTAAAGAAAATATATTTTCCCCCTCCCTTTTAGATTGTAAGCCCTCACGGGCAGGGCCCTCCTTACCATCTTGCCTTGAATTGTATTGTGATTGTAATGTCTTCCTTATATTGTAAAGCGCTGTGTAAACTGTTGGCGCTATATAAATCCTGTATAATAATAATAATTTTTTTTTCTTATTTACTTTAAGGCTATACATTGTTTGAGCAGAAAAATTCTAATAAATAAGGTAACAAAGTACAAGGTAAGACCCAAATTAGATACATGATCATAAATAGAGTTCATATGGATAATATACAATTTTATACGTATGGGATGGCTAAAGCTAGTCATGCACGCTACAAACTGACTGTACAATCCCTTCCTTAGGTTTACCAAGATTATGTATGTGAGGGGCTAGTTAAATTTCTTAAAGTTAAATTACAGCCAAAATGCAATCAGATTTTTATGTGGACACAGAAATAAAAGCAGGTTCCCAGAGAAACAGTAGGAAGCAAGTGGAAATCTTCCCAACTTGGGGTGACATTCCTACCGCTGACAGTAGAACAGGTTTCCATATTGTAAGACCTCCACTTTACTCTTTTTCTAATGACAAAGCTGGATTCCCTCTTACTTTCTTTTCCACTGACATTGGTCATCAGGACAAAAAGTATGGTTAGACCACCCCAGCCAAGATACACACAGCAATACAAAACTGACAAAGGTTCAAACCCTTCTTTAAACTATTCAAACCTAGAAAAGTTACAACTGAACTATCTGCCAATTAATTTCAAATTCAATTAATAAACCTTATTTAAGATATTTAATAAAAAATACATCAATGATATGTTAAACTTGCACTTACCAACCTCCACAACACTAGAACAGTTGGGATCGTTGAAGCCAACTGGGCACTCACATGTATAGGTTTCATCAGATAAGCCTGATAAACATATTCCTCCATTTTCACATGGGCTGGGCTCACAGACATCCCCTGCCAAACGAAAAAAGTGCAATTAATTACTCATTTACACAGCAGACATAATGCAAGTCATTTAAAATTTCTCAACAGAAAGAACATCAAAAAGCAGAACACATATCAGCTAGCCCCTCACTTCTAAAATAAACTGGAGTGTGCTGCTATATAGGCAACACTATAATTATAAAATATCTTGCTAAAAAACTACTTTTCAGTCTAAGGGGTTGATTTCAGCCGTACCAGCCTGAAGTGAATAGCTGAACAGTGTTCGGCTCACTTCACTTCTGATCGGTCATTCACTCGGCTGCCCTCGGCAGCTTTGTGAATAGACCCCTAAGTGTGAGGACAAGGACGCCCACACATTCACAGCCCCTTTAACAAGTAAAAGTAAAAAAAAAAACATATGCTGTAAGATAACAGTAAAGCACTTTCTACACACACACAGTCACACCAGGGGCATAACTAAACGTCTCCAGCCCTGAAGCAGAATGAGAGCCAGAACCCAATTGCATCTCCACCTTATTTATGACACCTAGGAAACATACAAATTCCTCATACAATATAACAAACATGCAAGGCTGGTTTTATTGATCAGGAGCTTGCAGGCATCACAAAACCTCAAGCATCTTAATCTTCTATTACTGAATAATCAAGAAGTTAATCCATACCAGAGAAGCAATTCTGTAATGCCCATGTTATCAGAGGAAATATTATGTCAATGAAAATGCCAAGTTATCAGAATAGCAAGCTTACTGGAGACACCCGGTGACCAGAGAAGCAACATTAAAAGTGAACTCATGTTACCTGAGTAATTGTTTTACTGAAGAAGGGACCAGAGAAGTAAAGTTACTAGAGAGACCATGTGACAAACTGCTAGAGCAACTAAGTTACTAAAGATGCCACGTGACCAGAGAAGCAAAATTACTAGACAGGTCATGTGACTAGAAAAGCAACAATAACAGAGAGGCCATGTGACTACAGTTGCCATTTTGTCAAAGAGGCAATGATAATGGGGAGCATGTTACCACACAACCTTTTTAGAGGAGCCACCATATTATTACTGCAGATTTTTGGAACTCCAGCAGATTTTTGGTTTTATGCATTGGAAAAAGTGAGCTTATTGCTAAAAATGATATTGGCTAATTTCTGCAATTTAGTTGTTGCACTATTGTATTCTGACAGCATTAAAATATATTATTGCCATTATTTTATTATTGCCATCGAGTTGATGTTAACTCATGATGACCACAAAGATAGTGGTTATCTATTTCCTGTTGTTGGACATCCATGCAAACATGAAGATTTTCTGTCCAGTCTAAACAGACCTGAAAAAAGGAATTTGAATACTACAAACACATTCAACTGAGATTCTGCAGAATTTTAAAAGACAGGGAGGGAATTATCAGCAAGGTTATGGTTGACCATGGTACGGCATAGAGTTTTCTACTGATAGAGTCCCTGATTAAAGGAGAACTATGGGGTCAGTGTTTTTCCCCATAGTTCTCCTTGGGGTAACGGGAGGACACAAACTAGCGTCCTCCCGTTACCCTAAGCTCAGTATACTGTAGCTGTAGCTCGCGGTATACTGAGACGCCGCACCTGGAGCGGATCCCGACTTAGATGACGGGATCCGCCCAGCTGCATGAGTGACAGTTGGCTCTGCCTATCTAGAGGCAGAGCCAGCTGTACCCTCCCCCTCCACCGTCCGTTCCGCCAGTCAGCGCTGGCAGATCGGAGCGGGGAGAGGGGAATCCAGCCCCTCCCCCTGTCACGGCAGACAGCCGTGACAGGATCGAGAGGTGAGGGAACCCGGTATGTGTTCTCTCACCTCCCGATCTACTGAGCCGACCTGTGACAGTCTCATTGTCACAGGTCGGCTTAGAACTATGAGGTGAGTGGAAATCACTCATGTCATAGTTCTCCTTTAAGTAATCCAGCTAGACTGCACTTAGCATAGTGCATGGGTGTTTTCACTGTTTAATTCTCTGTCTGCTTTGTTTCTTTTGCAAATGTACTAAGCTTTGGTATCATTGCAGCATGGTGCTAAGCATTTCCGCTGTCCATAAGCACTTTCACAGGGATACCTGTTCTTTCAGGCTCCTACACCCTCTCCTCTGTCCACTGCCTAATCACTGCAACTATATGAAATAATTTCCTTAAAGGAAACCTGTATTTGGAGAAACATGTTGGCTACCATTGTGAACTTTGTTCTGATTTGCTTGGATGTCTGTTGGCTGTGACAGTGAGTCACTGTCATAAAAAGAAGATTCAATGATTGACCTCAGAACTCATTTTAATCTGATTTTTTGTTTTAGGCCGGTGAATCAGAAGGTAATAAAGCCAGCATAAGTACAATGTAACAAAACATTTTCATATTATGAGTTTGGCAATAGCAATCAACACTATGTAGTTCTCTCAGTGTAGGTTTTCATTAATAAGCCTTTCAAAAATAAAAAGATGAAGGCATAGCCCCATAGCACAACATTAGGAACATTACTGTAAACCAGTTCCTTTTTTAAACCCTACAATGCAGTAAAATGTTGAAAACAGCACGGTGCATGTTTCCATCTAAAACACTGGTAATAAGAGGCTAGAGGAAAAACAAAATAGTGCAGTTGGAGTCAGCACTAGTCAAATTTAACTCAATCACCAACAAGTTCACTATAGACATACAGAGTTATTTACAAAAGGGTGAAGAGTTTGAAGGTGGCAGAAGAAGTGAACAATCTAGGACAATATAGCTGAACTGGAAAGTGAGCTGAATTGGAGACATTTTCAAAATCAGTTATTTTGGATTAGAGTGTTCACTTCTCCTGTCTTCTCCAAATTCTTCACCCTTTTGTGAATAGACCTGATAATATCAAACTAGAGTCAAATGTACTAAGATCTGTGCCAGAATGAAAATATGTGCAAGTGCTATAAATTCATCTGTCAGACACATTGTCATAACTTGCTTTCATCTTAAATCACTTGCTTAAGTGTTTAGTTGCTGCCAATATAGCAAGAATTGAATAGGCATCTGTTATGTCTCTCATTGCAGTATGGAGCACAACAGCCTGTGTTCTTTAATGTAATGCCTTAGATACCGATTTTCAGCAAATTGTGCTTTTCATACAACATACCAATAATCACACATTTACATTCTCTAATGTATGACAAAAGGTACTTTCATATTTTCAATACATATTATAACATGTACATCAATTTACAGCAGATTGGCCCTGTCTATTGGAGCTGTCATCCCAAGACATCTTTCCTTTAATGGAGGTCTGTTTAAGATTTCCTTAAAATAATGAATCCTTGTGACTTTCTGTTGCTTTTTTGTTGTTGTAAGAAAGTATCCCTGTCTTTGGCCAGAGTGGAGAAGTGTTTTTTTTTCTCTTTTTCACAAATATGTTACATTATCTGATGCATCATCCCTTGTTCTTTTTTACTAGCTGTCTACTCTGCCAGCAATGGGAGGTTGTCCATCTTCTTACCAGTCTCTATCACAACTAGCTGTGAATTACTGTTTTGTCACTCTTTTTGTTGGCTGGTAGACAAACCATTATTAATTTTCATCTTCAAATGTGGTGTACTTCAGTAGCTTTTCATGTTTAAGTTGTAATCCATTGCTTACTTTCCTAGTTATATCTTGAACATTTCTCACCACTCTTAATGTATACCGATACTCCCCTTTCCCACTTGTACTTGATATTATTTGCATCACATGCCTGATTCTGCACTTACGAATCCCATTCTTCACCTGAAGAATAAATGCGCTCTTTGCTTTGTAGTTCTTTTATTTGCCAGCATAAAAGTAACTTTGTATGTTGATGCTCTGTCAAACTCTCATCAATTTCACATAAAGTGATGCAAGGTAGAAGTCTATACCAACATTATCCTTTGGCCAAGAGCCATCGCAGCCTACAAGCTAACAGCCCACATGGCTATAGCTGCAAAATTTAGCTCCAAGAGTTTTGATGCTGCTCTAGTAAGGGCAAATAAAAAACATATTTGGAAGATAATGTAATTCAGAGAGAAAGTATAAAAGGTCTAGAAACGTTATTTTTTATGAGGCAGTCATAACGCATACAGTAAATTGTCTCAATCAGGCATTAGTGAAGGATCTGGGCACTAAATCTAAGATCATATATTAATTAGCCTATTGCCCTGTTTCATAATTATACTAAAGGTGTGGCGTCCCATCCACCTCTTAAAGGAATACATTTATGGATCTTAAGGCATTGGTAGTCAGAAAAGGTAGCAAAACAAGCTCTAAATTTGCAGGGCCAATCATTTTTCCCCTGGATGTATGAATATGGACAGCTTCTGAATAAGTAAACTGCTTTCTTGTTCATGTATTTATGGCAAACAGCAAGATTATGGTTTCTCTTCAATGGCCGGTGCCCATGTTACCAGAATTACCTGCCCCTTTACGAAATGTTGGTAATTGTGCAAATGAAACCAAAGTACAGGAATGGACATTGTGAAGGGTGCAATCCTGAAGATTACAATTGCCTGGAAGCTATGTGTGCTACAATGACTGCAAACGGTTTACATGCCTGGGCAGCAGCCAACTGGCAGACGGAGACTATGCTATATAACATTGTCTCTTCCCGCAGCACAGGGAGTGCTGACTATATGAGCTGCAACTGGCACATTGATTTGCTGATACCACTCAGCTACAACTACTATGTGACAGCCAGGAGCCACCTAGGCGCTTAGGTTCCTAGGTTTCTGTCCAGCTCAGAAAAAATACCCTGTCTGGAGTGCTGGACCCTGGGCTACCATTAGGGCTGTGCAACTGCATAGAAGTGGGGCATGTTGGGCTAGTCAAAGGGTTGGATCTGGTGGCCCCCTCAACTAGCGGTCCTAGGATAGCTGTCTCTTTCCTCCCTATGGTCAAAGTGGCCCTGAAGTTTGGTTGTTGCCCTGTTCAAAGGCTGAATATATTGCTGAGGTGTATGTATGTATATATTGTCTAAATATTATGAAATCATGTTTGGATTATTCCCAGGAGCAAGGTAGCTGCT